ATATATATATATATATATATATATATAATGGCTGTTCGTATTCATCTGTACGGATTGGGCCACAAACACGGGCGAAAAATGCAAGAACGCTCCCTTGATGGATTTGCTGCGTGCACCTGAATTTTTAGTTTGGCGTTGTGCGCATGTTGGATGACCGACTCACCTCTGAGTTCAAAACAGCAACTGAATTTGACATTATGTCATATCTCTAGGTCTCTAACTAGATCACTAAAAGGTGCTTGGAACCCAAATCAAGAAGCGTAGATGGTTTTACGATCCTCAAGTTAGGGTTATATTTTTCACGTACCTCCAACCAATCATCAGTTCTCTTACTACCACTTCATTTTACCCCAGTTCGGCCAAGCAAGCCTAGAAGGTGCGGGTACGGCACAAATTTCGGTGATATAACATGACCTTAATCAAACGTGTGTTGACACGGCTATACCTGGGGGTGGGTTGAGCGCATCACGCGTCCTCCGACGCATTCCACTGCCATGAGGTGTTGCCATAGTACGGCAGTGAAGCATCAGTGCCAACACTGATGTTGCTGTCATTGATGATGATGATATAGTACGGCAAGCATCAGTGCCAACACTGATGTTGCTGTCATTGATGATGATGATGATGTGTTGCCATCAGACGCGAGCAAATTCAAACGGTCGGGAGCTGACGGCCGCCAGATATCTCCAGTCAACCACGTTGCGCAATGTGGTGGTGCGGTGTACATAACGGTGCTGTGAACATATTCCCTCATTAAAGTACGAGCAGTTCGTAGAAACCGTCCGTTATCAGTCCCAAAATAGAATATTCAGCACAGTATCATCATCAATGATGGTGATATAGGGCCTCAAGTATGGTCACATTACTCGGGTACTCCAAACCTCTCCGGCGCACATCCTTCAAAGGTTGAATAGTGAACAGCGTAAGGATTGACGGAGAGCACTAGCAGGTAACAAAGATCCAAGGGGTGGAGAAAGCTTTTGTAACGGGAAGCACTGGTACCCTATTTCAGCTAATCCGGCCCGAGAAAGGTAAGCGCATAGGACCTCAGTTCATTCACAGATACGTTGTTTTTAAGAATGGATTGAACACTTTGAAGAACAGTCATGTTAGCTCCCGTCAACTCAACTGCTGGAAGAACCAGAAGAACCGGAATGGAACGTCGACACCAGTCCACCATCGAACAGGTCCAGTGTGAAATTTTATAGCTTCAGCTCAATAAAGTAGCTATTCCAGACGGTTTGCATTCTGCACTCTTCAAAGACAAATCCATTTTGGCCAGTGTGACGGCTTTACTCCAAATTGTCTAACATGAATACAGAATACTGACAGAAAGGAGCGCCTCGGTAGCGATTCGTATTTGTGCAACAATCATCGAGACATAGGTTGGGGTCACAGCCTCCGAAAATCCTCTGGTTATTATCCTGCGCAGTTTCATCCATCACTGACAGAGTCAGATTCGTAAAATTGAAGCGGGATTCCAACCTGGTCGGGGTTGCATCCATCATATATTCGCTTTCTGACGAGTGCGAGAAGCCACCGCTTCCGACGGCCAGCAATGGTCTTTTATCTCGATCTGGAAGATACATCTCACTGCACCGACGGTCAGAAACATTAGCAGTATCTGGCGATGATGGCCCCATATACTTCATCCTGTGGACGCCTGTGTGCCTACAGTAAACAATCCTGAGTTCACCACACCCACTAGTGATTCTGGGTCTCCGTCACACAGGCCCAATGACAATAGGACGAAGTGGTAGGTATTACTTGCCATAAAGGGACTTAACTTGTCATGAGAAAAATAACGAACCTCGGTTAGCACTTAGTACTACCCAGTTGGCGTATGACGGTCAACAGCAATCACCGAACTTAGCAGTCCTGCAGTTCACAATTGGACGTTCAAGAATTAGAGGAGTTAAGTTAATTCGAAAGCCAGTTTATTCACAGCTAATCATTTGCAGGTAATCATATGGTCAGTCAACTGTACATTTGTTGGCAAGTTCACACATTATTTATCTGGAGAAAGGTACAGAAGTGTACGAATAAGAGGTTCCACGGGTTTACAAAAATGATTAGGTTTCAGTGCTTCAAAGAGAGGGCGTGCTGTCCATTGATGATTTGCTTGATGGGCCGTAGCTGCCGAAGTACATTGGCCAACGCAGTTTGAGCATCTTCGTTTTTGCCAACCAACTTTCGCAAACGTATCTTCTTCAGTAGTTCAGTTACAGTGATGGGTTTGCGCATCAGATATTTGCGCACGGTGCTCATTAGTTCACCGTCACAAGAATTGGAAGAAATGGATGAAGAAACCGTTGTCGCTGTGGCTGGTTCTACACGAGCTTTCTTGCTGGCAGAACCAGATGCCCCAGTAGCTGAGTCTGTTGTGTCTGTCAGACGACGTTTAACTGCACCCGTTGTATCCACAGCATCACCACTCTCTGCGACAGTAGCTGACGAAGGACCATGGATCGATTCAGAAAGTTTCTGCAACAGTGCGGTTTTCCTCGAACTTTTTTTCGCCTTCTCTTCCACGTCAACTTCCGAATCGGAACTCGAAGAGGAGTAGGAAGACGAATCCCCATCGATAGAGGAAGAACTGGAGGATGAGGATGAGGACGCACCATCATCTTCGTTCCGCCCGTGAACCTTTTTCTTGCTACGATGTGATTTGGTACCCATGTCGTCATCCAATAAAAGGGGTTCGTAACCTTTCGTAACAGTGTCAAGTGGCTCAAGGTTGCCCTCCGGACGTTTGCGTCCAACCCCATTGGCGTTAGAATCATCCCGAATATCGGTTGCATCCATCTCCGTTTGATTCTCTTCTAGTCCTTCTGCCTCCTCTTCTTCGGTACCTAAGAAAAAGGACGATGAGTTGTCAGTTTATTCCCTTTCACGACCGGAGTTACTGAAAAACCCGGTAGCATATAGCAATGAATAGTACATGAATATTACAGTGAATTTTACACGGCCGGATCAGGTACGATTCGATTTCCGAGTTCCTGAAACAGCGAATAAATGCGGAAATATTTCTGCAAAGACGACACACTCAAGAATAAGGTCTTGTCACGAGATTGAGAAAACCAAACCATTCGATTGTGGCATCCCTTCCGGGACTCACTACCTTGCTGCTTATAGAAAGCAAGAGATAAAGCCTCCCACTCCAAGACTGAAAAGAGGAACTGCGAATCTTGCGATCATTGGATAGCACACTGACCTCCGACTACGCAAAACAGGCAGACGAAAATATCTTTCCGCGGGCTGTGAATATGTCATTCAGACAGGTTCAGATATACAAGGGATTTGGAAGCTACCAACCGGGCGACTTGTGGATCTAATTTAGTCCCGATTTCTCGATTTCCATTATATGGACCTGAACAACCAAGAAGTATCTCAGATTTTGTGCACCCCTTGTACTGAGTACCAGCTTTAGTGAAATGTGAAATAGTTGAATGTTTCCTTGTCACCTGGGAACAATGGAAACCCTCATTTCAATATGTGCGGTTCAGAGATATGCTCACAGCATTACAAAGCAGACAAACCTATAACATGAAACTGAGACGTGGTTCAACTGTAGCGCTCCTTTGAAGTGACGGACCTGACAACTGAAATTGAAAACACACCAACGATGAAACTCACTGACATCAGTCAGCAATGCTTTGAGAGCAGCTTCGTCGTCAACACCAGGTTCCTCATAGATTTTCTCACGTTCGTCAGCCGAAAGCTTGTCTTCATCCGAAGAGGAGTTTGTCATGTAATCTACCTGCAACGAGGAAAGTAAAAAAAATACAACTACCAAAGATTGCACAGAAATGGATTATTATGTGTTACAATTTGGTACCGCAGCCTTCAGGGCGGAAGTAAGAATCCAAGAGCAAATAAACGTGCAGGCGATTCCAGAAAGAACGCTTGTGAACTATCAGAATAGGTTAAGAACTCACCTCATCCCCTTCGTGGTCATCTACCTCACTATCATCCTGTGCCTCTTCCAAAGGATCGTCCTCCTCGGACGAAGAGCCAGCAGGTCGACCCTTCTTCGTTCGGCGCTTCTTGACATAACGGCGTATCCGAGATACGATTGCTGCATCACGCTGTTTTTTGCGAAGAAGACGAGCGCGTTCGGCAGCTGACTTGACCCCTTCTGTCCTACCAGCACGCGCTTTGCTCACATCGCCAAACAACCCAACTGATTTTTGCTTACTGGTTCCAGGTTTGGTTCCTTCAGTAGCACCACCCTCGCCTTGGTCTATTGCTGACTCTTCTTCTTCATCCTCAGCGTCAGCGTCACTTTCACTGTTCAACTCCTCTAAATCGGTTAGTTTGAGAGTACGATCTGAACGGCGGCCGCCGCCAGATTTGGCGGCCTGTGGACCGGACTCTTTCTCTGAATTCCCCCGGCCTTCCGTCGCCACGGACAGATAGCTGTTGAAAACGTAGTGTGCAGGGAGGTGGCCGTAAAGCACTATTCAAACATGGACTGTATGAATGTTCATCAAACCAGCACGTATAGTGACTGAAAAACGACTGCAGTGTTAAACGGATCAACAAGATGAGCGCATCTGCGAGATGTAATCAATCCATTGCGAATCTAACACCACGTTTACAACCATTGACTGTGTGATGTGACGATAAGCGATTCATGTGGAACACGGTAACTGCCAGATGAGGATTACATAAGGGAAAAACCGAGCTGACGGTGCTGGAAATCCTGAAAATCACGAGCCTAGGAACCTGAGCAGTCAACCTTAATTCAACTCATTAAAGGACAAAAATTCACGTGAGTGAAGTGTGTTTCAACCTAATGTGAATGAGGAAGCCCCATGGGAGCTAAAAAATCATAGAGCAATACCAAAACACGTGTTCGAAACAAAGCAGAAAAGGTAAATATTCAGAAACTCCAAAAGCGAAATGGGTTACCAGCCACTGTAGGAACCAAACCGTACCATGCCAGCTCAGGTGGTGTGTAATTTTAACTAAATTACTGGGCAACGAAGGGCAGAACCTACCGGAGTTCCTTTCCAAGCTCCCGGTCCATGGTTAGCCCGTCTGTCACCTCGTCTGCACCTTCACCATCGGTCAGTTTGCGTTTGATCATCACGTTGAACAGATTCATTGTCTTGTGAAGTCTACTGTATTCGACCTCTGCCTCTTCTTCACGCAAAAACCGATAGTTGATTTCCGGTTTCATTTTATACCTGGACAAAGCGGCGGTGGATAACAGTAGAGAATCAAATCACCTGAATAGTCTTGATGAAATTCGGTAAACTGAAAGTTCCCTGATCCGAAAGAAGTGTAAACCAGATTTGCGTGTTTCGGATATCAGAACAAAACTCGACAGCAACAAATAACGATAGATGAACATACGGTGAAGGTTCAAACTGTATGCAACACCGTGGGATAAGGTACATTAGACACCTAGTACCCAATGGGAAACTGCCATTTTAAGTCCTCTGTTTTCGGAAAGACCGACGACGTAGTACTCATTCTACTACAGTAAGCTGATAAAAACAAAGTATGCTGCGACAATTCCCCTCCACAAAACACAACATACTCTCGAGAAATACGTTCATTTACAAACCCATTTGGTTTTCACAGGATACTCCCCTGAATCTCTCGTATATGATGTTTTTTGACTGAATCTGCGCTAGACCGCCTCAGGTTTCAGCTGGCACGATATTCGAGATATCGCAACACATTGTATGGATTTAACGCACTACACACTACTGAAAAGTCTTCAACGATGATAGATTTAGCTGGGGTTCAAGTGGATCACCAGTTAAAACCAAATTTGTAAACAAATGAGTGTATTAATCGAGTTTCAAGCAAGTTAGGTCCAAGCACAACATAAGGTTCACAAAAACCCAGGAACGTATTCGAGATTCGCAACACATTGTATGGATTTAACGCACTACACACTACTGAAAAGTCTTCAACGATGATAGATTTAGCTGGGGTTCAAGTGGATCACCAGTTAAAACCAAATTTGTAAACAAATGAGTGTATTAATCGAGTTTCAAGCAAGTTAGGTCCAAGCACAACATAAGGTTCACAAAAACCCAGGAACGGCGCATATCAAGAAGGGCTAAATCGGCTGTTGATTGTTGAAGAAATTTCAGCGGCCTTGCAAGTAGTATGTTACGTCTACTCAATAAAAATCTCATTTATGAAACACGTGGTCTCCATACTAGTAGTATCGTAAAAACATTGCAGCAGACACAACTCCTCCAGGCGCATTCACTACCGATAAAACCGAGGTTTGGGGTGTGAGTGTGGTCAATATTGATAAATCAGCACGAACACGTACATCCTGTTTTTTTCACTGATGGTCCCTGAGGAACTGAAACTGACCAAGCCTTTCTCATAGATCTCAACCAAACTTCTGGTTGATTCACAATAAGTTCAACAACGTGGCCTTCTGTCCTTGTTGGATTCATCAGGTGTATGCGCAAGGGCGTGTCGTGTAGCCCTTTTGTTGGCAGTCCTGACCACACTAATAAGCTTTATGCAGCTAGTGAACTGCATTCACGACATGATTCTGGTCCTAACTAGCGGTCACGCAATTCGACATTTATATTCCCCATCCGAACTAGCCACCGACCCTGGCAAAAGGACAGACCATCGGTTTATCATGTGGACTTTATGAGAAGAGTTATGGTCGGATACTGAAAAACCCAGACAAGTGAGATTTTTCGCCTTTAGTTGAGATCCACCAGGTAGGTAGAGAAGGATCGGTTATGCGGCTTGCTTGTTTAAATGCGGGAGTACTTCATAAATTCTATTTCCCACACGGCAGAAACATGCACTGTATGTGCACACTCTCTTTTGCGAGATGGTTAAACTAAAGGTGAATTTCACAACACAACCGTCTCCTATAAAAGAAGGATGGTGTAAAAGGCTTTGTTGTCGTTTGAACTCCGGTGCGCCGGTTTATCAACAAAATACTTAACACTTCAACATGGGCCAGAAACTAGGCAGGTAACAGTGACTAGCCGCGTCTCTAAAACACGTCTGGGTTCGGTCGATGCGCTTTGGGAGAGCTCTCTCATAAAGAGAGATGTACCCGCATTGAATGGGCCAGTCAAACCCTACAAGTTGTGCCACATATTCCGTATGCCTCATACAGCCTTTGCGCCCAGTTATCATTAAGGTGAAAGCAACATACGGCCAGTCAGATAGTGGCTTTCCAGTACGCTAAGAAGGTACTGAACGGTGAACTCAATCGCGTTTTTAACCGGCATGTGCATGAATGAAGATACAAAGATCAAAGATATGGTTCGAACATGCTTTAGAGTCAGAGCTATCACTCCCGTTACGTGGAACCCCAGTGATAAAACTCAACCACATGAGGAACAATCCTTATGACCTGAGTCACGTTCGAATTCGTTTTCCAAGCATTAATCCAGATGGCATTTTGATCGCTGCATAGAACGGTGTAGTTCAGTAAATTGTCAAGGCCGAGATCCATTAATTTTTCGTTGTCTCACGTAAGCTTTGGATTGCTTGTATGCGTTTATTTATTCAACCACATCATTAGCAGCCGGACTGTACAGGCCCAAAATTAAGCAAGTGTTTCTTCTTCGACCGCAGAGTAAATGTGCTCGGCGCTCGAACAATCCACACTTACAACAATTCAACAATCACATGCTTGTTTAACATTCGGGATTGAGCACACACACGAGCAGATGCATACTTCTTACGGACTGCAACTGGTGGGTAAACGCACTTGGAGCTGGTTGTATGCTCGTTCACGTTGTCGCAAAGGAGTTGTACCAAGGCATTGGAAAGGGTTGCTCTTATGGTTAATAGAACTGGTTGCGGGTGGGACATACTGAACGAAACAGCATCCGATCTCAGTTTTATGCTTAAATAAATCTGCCACTATTGCTTTTGAAAAGACCAGGGTGATGTGACTCCAAAGTTTCTATATCCACACTAGATACTGTTACGCGGTTTGTAAAAAGGAGGCACTTTTAGTAAAACCATAGAATTTGTCCCCGACAGTAATTTGCTGTTTTTACCGGACATGTAAACTGCTACAGTACGCTTGTTTATGTCGTTCACGAACAAACTAAGCATTATGAAACCCAAAAACTACAAGCTGTCGTTTGAATGACTGGTAAATATATATAAGAAAGGATGAACAGGTAGAAACGAATAATTCTGTTTGTAAGAGGTGTAACGAATGTCATGATTGTTACGACAGGGTCTAGATCCATGTCTACACGAGCAATAGCAGTTGAGGCCTGAAAGTGAACGAATACCTAAAGCAGGTTGTTTGGGCTCAGTGGTAGAGCGTACGACGAGTTTCAATCCAGTAATAGCAGATAGAACCTGATTGCCTCCAGTATCAGCCTACTTAGTGATGTCCTCTGAGGAATCAAAGCGCAAGACTGAACGAGTGTGATTCACCATGGCAAAATCATCAGACATACAGCCCTTGTTACGCTGCAGACTGTAGAACATTCCTTGTGGTTCGGTAGATATTGCTTGCTCACACAACCATAACTGCCGTCGGTGTATTTACTGCACTGAGGTCGTGTGACAGTGTTTACTCCGCAGACTTCAGTTTTAATGCACTCTGTAAGAAATAGCTTGTTTGATTCTTGCACGTCTACTTTTGCACGGGCATGATCACAAGCCCAAATCAATTCATCGGCGTCCATAGGTATTCCCTGGCGGCGTAATCTGTGATGCCAGCTGTGAATATCCTCTGCCTTTCTTGTGCAACTGAATTACACTCAATGGACGGGTGAACACAGAATCCGTGAAATGGAACCGCACAAATTTTTTGTCAGCAGATTGACACAAATGGTAAAACTTGTTTCTCGCGACATACGTATTCAGCCGCACACCCCATTATTTGCCCACTAGCGACAAAGCTTCTCGAAGAGGCTCATGGCATCAAACACTTTGTTCATCTGTTCGGTGCCTAGCTGCCACGCCACCCGAAGGAAACACGGTGGCTAGGATACTACCACGTTGCTTAAGCCTGGACAGAAGTCGAGATGCAGAAGTTGGGTTTGAAACACGGACCAGTAAATTCAAGTTCTAACCACTGAACCACTTCGTCCCAATCAGACACTTCGGCCCTCCATAGCCAGATGAAGACCTAACAGTTTCAGGGTGAGTTGTCCAGAAAGTTTAAGTATGGTCAGTAAAAGTCCCCTTCCAAGAATGCCAGTCATAGGCTGTCGGTTGAATAAGTGAATCCATTCGGAACAGTCCAAGAGCAGAATATTGAAAAGAAATTATGTAAAACATCGACACCAAGTCTTACGTTCCGTAAATAGAGCGTAACGCGGCGAGGGCAGCCCGTTCATTAGAAGTCAACACAAAAACGAAAAAAAGCACGAATACCACAGGCATTGGTCTCTGGCCAGATAATGAATCATGAATGCAGCCAATCAGCGCGTAAACCAGTCCACCCGTGAACACAGCCACCTACGCAGACGATGTGGGTAACAGCGAAGCACCTAGAACAGGAAGTGTGAACAGCAATTAACGTGACTTAATCGAAACGAGGACAGAAAAACAATGTTATCCACTAACATAGGTTTAGGTTAGGGTCTCCAGTTCGTACCGGTTTGGTCCCAACACCTATTACCGGAGAACTAAACTACAGTGGCTGGTACCTTTGTTACACAAGGGATCCGAATAGGAGTGAAGCAACCATGTCACAAGCTCAGAATGCATTCTGGTCATCCAGTATAGCCTCGCCTGAATAAAACCCAGTTTGAAGGTAGGACTTACCAAGCATGGACAGGATAGGCGTCAAAATTTCCATCTTTACATTGACAAAATACAAAGTATTCAACATTCTCCGAAACACTTCCTTCCCGAGCTCCTTTGAAGCGACGACGTCCGGTTTTTCCTTTGCCCACGGTCATAACCCACGGTTGGTCATCTGGTCGATAGGTTTCACGAATAATACCATACTTGCGAAGTCGGGCCTCCTCCCTCGCCTCACGACCAAACTCGCTTCCGGCCCCACGGTCGGGAGTGTCTTGAATGTTGTGAGCACTGCGAAACTGCCTCAGGTTGTTTTCACGTTGCATAAACACTTCAAGGCCGGATGTGAGGTCGGGATGATCAGATGTGTGAAAACGAAGTACACTGAATCGCTTGTCACGTCGATTAGGGACTCTGACCTGCACCGGATTGACACAAATACTTTAACGAGGCATGATGCCTATCGAACGGGCGAGTACATAGTGAGTTTAAAAATTCACTTTTCAAAAAACTAGACACCGAATAAGCACAAATATGAACATGTAAAAATATATAACTATTAGGTGAGTCAAATCGATCAGGAAATCGAAAAGAAAGCCAACACACACCCCAAGAGTAGAAGAACTGTCGAACTTTCAGCTGACGGACGAGCGAGGTCACGCTTATTGTCCTGCAAGGAAGATGCAAGATGGACAAGTGGACCTAGATGTGAAAAGTGGTGAGTCCAACGGTTCCTGGTCATCTGCGAGTTTGGCCTACAATAGACTCGCTCCATCAGTGGCTAGATATCCCTGCCAGTATGATCACTTCGCTTTACGGACTTCAATCAATCCCTTCCTTAAAGTTCCGAACGGTGAGTAAACCCTAAGTGGTCTGCGCTTGAAAGACGGAAATGAACCTTCTATGATATTACCTGTGCCACACAACATTTGGACTTCTCGTGAATCAGGCGAATTATCCAAATGAGGGCTATGTACAAGCCTCTAAACCGAAGTCAAACTAGCATTCAATACGTGAACGGAATAAATATCTTAACCGTGTCAAAAGTTTCAAACAGTAGGCAAGATGAGCACAATATTTATAGCAGTTGGAATACACAGTAACGGTGGACTGTTATTTGTGGCATAGTTCAGTGGCGAACTAAGTTCCACGAGTTTCATTTGGAATGCTTAGTTAACAAAAACTCTCAATATCCCAACAATTCACTTGCGCTGTCTTGGTGGTTTGCTAAGTTTGAAAGAAGCCTCTTTACGGTGCTGCTTTCAAATGAGTAAACAATGCATATGCTAAGATACTACATCTATCCCTTTTTCCATCACTCACCTACCTGAATAAAATCGATATGTTGTGTTTGGTCCCCATTCCATACAATCAACCAGAGAACAACCCATGCACACCACTGTACGACCACTAGCTTCATACGCTGGCGTACTCTCTCTTGATTGGGTCGCTTGCCAATAGGTCTCATGCCTTTTGCCTACCCGTTTCTGTGGCCTTGTCAAAGCCGGGTCATGGGAATTCTTGTGCTATCATGCACATATATTAACCCTCCAATTACCTAAAGCTTGGGCTCAGAATTTTCTGTTTGTCTGATTCCAAGTCCAGTTCTTCAAGTTGTCTTTCGATCGTGTACAGCGAGCATTCCCGCAGGCAGGCGGCGATGAGTCGCACTGAGAAACGCAGTAACCGGCATAATTAAGCAATTCATTTCAAAACCACAGAATTTTTGAAAAAAAGACTTGGAGAATCATGGATTGTAAAATTTACCACGATGTTTTCATAGAGCCAACTGTCCGTAATGATGCTGAAAACTCTTGGAAGAGTCTTCAGTAGTGCATAAAAATCGACTCTATCCAAGATGATTACGAGTAAGTTCCTATCTCTCATGGCAAGATGTGGCGCAGCTGTGGGTCAGTAAAGAAGGCGCAATCGCTCGAAAAGTGATCAAAGGAGAGGCGCACGAACAGCTTTGAACATGAAACACATCGGAAGAAATTACTACGGCCGAAGTTGAATAAAAGACTATTGGCGGCGCGACAGGTACCGTGAACTTCGGCGTTGGATTGACTAACTGTTCAGAGGTCAGCCGCCCCTAATAACCGAACATCACATAGATTGGACGGATGTCACGTGCGGGCTACATAACAAATGAATGGTCAGAATGTCAGCTAATCTGGATCGAGCATCTTCAGCTGGACGCTTTTCGGCTCTTCACGGAGACTATCACGACCTTGGGGAACGTTGTGCTGACCCTATAAATACGGTTGTAACAATCTTCCTTTGTCTCCGTGCCTTTTGATATACTACAGTGGGCGGAGCGGGAAGCCAAGGACCGATACAGAGTTGCATGACTGTTCACAAGACACAACGCTAACTTACAACCAAGACACTGATTAACTGTTCGTTCTGTCAGTGAAAGCCGAATAGTTGGGAGGACCGTTGTCCCTGCTATGAGCTTCGGAAGGGCCTTCACAACATTAGCACTGTTGTTGGATCAGAGAAAAATACGTTGAAAATCTCAGTGGAAGACGAGCACTAGTTTCGGTCCTTTTTCGAACTACTCCATTCCAATCAATCAGTGCAAAAATAGCTAGACGATAACGAGTAGTTCGTGATTTTTCTGAGGATATAAACTGTAGGTCTGAACACTTTAGTAGAAAACGACTACAAAGAATGCTTCACCGGCACACTGGACGGATCGCCCAGTGATCAGAAATCATTCGACCATTTTCGAGGATACTCTACGCATCCAGATGATCCATTTTCGTGTACCATGAGAGAACGAGGAGCAGGTCAAAAAAGAATACATTGTAACTGATTGTTATGAATGGCAAAAACACTGTTGTCAGGCGTATAAAACTATGGGCAAGTTTAAACGATTAACAAACCTGCATCTCTCGAATAACATTTCTTTGTGATGGCTGCGTTGCTGATGATGAGGTCGATGGGAGTTGGTCTGGTTTAATTGGGGGTTGAGGATCCGGTACAGGTTGTTGGGGTTTACAGACTGTTGGAGGATTCAGCAAGGATCGGGATTTGGGAGATACGCCGACTGGACGAATCACTGTAGGACAGGCTGTGGCGACCTTGATCGGGTGTGAAATAACAGGCGTGATTTTTAGACCTCCTGATACAGTGGCGCCAGCGGCTGTTGTGCTGGTGCCTGTGGCGTTCGGTAGTGTGCGGATGACTACAAGTGGTGTGCTGGTTGTGGTGGCAGGAGACCGTTGCAAAGGATTGGTTATGTTGGTTGTTTGTGAGATCACAGAAATGACAGATGGTTTGGAAAGTTCCGAAACAACGGGCGAGGCGATTGACTTGTTTCTGCGATGAATAAGAGGAAGAGAGTGAAAAAGTTTATTCAGAAGTTGGTTTCTAATTGAGTTTCTGATAGTTAGAAGGTTGAAAACTAACCGGATCATCCGACGAATTCACACATATCTGCAAAAGAGCTAATTTGATATTCTTATTCACGCTCATCGTGGTTAAATAAAAGTTACGATGTTCATCTACTGCAAGCCATTTATTTAAGCCATCTTGGCCGTCTGCACAATGCAAACAGCACTGATCGACCGTTTTTCTGGCTTGCGGGCTGGATTAAATTAAGATAGCGATAGTCTGGTGTTACGGTTCGGTCACGCAACGAGTAAACAATATGATATGCGGATTGTGGTGATCGACCTCTGGCTTGCGGGCTGGATTAAATTAAGATAGCGATAGTCTGGTGTTACGGTTCGGTCACGCAACGAGTAAACAATATGATATGATAATTGTGGCAATACTCTATCCCCAGCTATGTTGCTTGATCCAGACTCCTAGCACGGCGGATAGTGAGAAGACGAAAAACCTCGGACACAAACTTCAATGATCCAACAACACGCGATCAACAGGCGATCATGGAAAAGAATGACAATGCATATATATATTCATAGTTTGACCTTGAAGATGCTGGAAGTTCGCTGGCACACATAAAAATACAGTTTTTTTTGGGGGGATATTGATATCCCCAACACTTCCCCTTGTGAAAAGCCAATAATATACTTGACGGGGGTCGACCTGGATACGTTCCGGCTGGCGGCGGCATCGGTCTGTCCACCGCCTGGGAAGAAGTGTTGGATCAAATACCGAGCTGCCGGTCACACTCTCCTCTTTCGAAGCTGTCTCAGTTTTCAGCTCAAAAGTATCGAGCAATAGGTCCAACGGTACGGTACCCGAACATACTTGAGTTTCCGGCGTGCTGTTAAAGCGGAGTTGGTTTTGATGTCTGGTCCAGGTGTCTTGACCAACCGACACGTCGTACATTACACTACCGCGTTTGCGCAGGATACGACCTGCAATCCATGAATCATGTCCTGGGCGATAGTCACGGACAAGCACGGGCGTTCCCAACTTGAATGGAGTTCCAACTGCCACCGGTATGGACCTTGACTCAGTAGGTTGTGTTGGCAACATGGAAGAATACACAGTTCTAAGTTTACGGCCCATGAGTGCCTCTGCAGGTGACTGGTGGTTTGCCAAAGCGTCATTCGCGGTCGTTCGGTACACAAACAGGAATCTCTGAAGGGCTTCGACGGATGTCTCCTCCCCTCGAGCTTTAAGCAAAGCCCTCTTGAATGTGTCGACGAACCTTTCTGCTTGACCGTTCGACTGTGGGTGGTACGGTGGTGAACGAACGTGTGTTATCGCATGTCGAGTGCAGAAGTCGCGGAACTCGGCGGAGGTGAACTGCGAACCATTGTCTGAGACTATTGTTAGTTGAGAATATTGTTAGTAACAATGAGACTATGGACTCCGGTAATCCATGCTGACTGAAAATGTTGGATAACACTCTCAGCGTACTAGATGTTGTTGGAGATGACACCGGAACGATTTCTGGCCACTTGGAAAAAGCGTCAATCAAAACCAAACAAAAAGTGCCACGTATCGGTCCTGCGTGATCAATGTGGATCCGAGACCAGGGCCTTTCAGGTCGAGGCCAGGGAACCGGTGGTTGGTGTGGCGGATTCTTTGAAGCTTGTTGACATCGGGAGCAGCGTTTTACAAAATCAGTGATGTGCTGGTCCA